TTGGTAAAGATCGATTAATATTTAGGGGATGAAATGGACCAAAAACTTTATTTTTGTCTGATTTTCTGCCGAAGAATAAGCATGCCTGTTTTGATAGAGATCGGACAATATTTAGCGGGTCAAATGGACCCTGAATTTTATGTGAAAAATGATAATATTTGTATTCCATAACGTATATATTTGCTCCTGAAGGACATAGACACGAGATGTTGATAGTATATCTAAGAGGAGTGGTTGACCTTTTAATTGATACCAATTATATTGTCGTATGTACTCAGAAGGGAATCTGGACAATTAATAAGAAAAGCTGTACTGAACATTAGTAATATTCTGAATATATGTCAGTGCAAAGAAGAAGTGGTCAAGGGGACAAGAGGATGCAAATATCTTGAAATATTGCCTAGGCTCGGAATAAGCATCAGCACAAAGATAGAGTTCCGTGGTAGTTGTGTAGGGTATCGTATGATCGGCCTCGTCCGACTATACTGTTCCGCGCACAGTTTTTTTTTTGGCTTTGTGCCATTTAACTTTTTTTAGAAACCCAGGATTTGTATCAGAACCTAAAATGGAATTAAACCACTTTCAAAATAAACGACTCACATAGGGAAGCTATATCTAAAGAGAAAAGAATTTAACGGATACATTAAACACGTTGTGTCAATAGGACAAACGCTGGGTCTTTGTTGTACCATTGTAGAATCGGGTGAAAAGATATACATGATAACTATATCTAAATCTGGGCCTAATTTGTTTATCCTCAAAAAGAATTTCTACAAGTTGCAAAAGTTAGTTTATAAAAGTTCTTACGAAAAACTTGCTGCAAATTTGCAAGTCTCTTTACACACAAATTGTGTACTGCTTGCAGTAAACTTTACTTTCTCTACGAATGACAGGATAAAAATGTCTTGTGGCAAAAATATTTGCAGCTGTTATCACTGCATATTTAATTTAAAATAACAACATGTTTTGTCAAGTTTTATAGAAACGAATTCCTTGTTTTATAGAAACGAAAACCCCAACTAAGTAATTACGATGTAATATATATATATATATATTTAAATTGGCCACATGAATCAATTGCAAAGGAAATAAAATAAATTAGACATGAAATACATGTGATTTGTAAAAACCCACGCCCATCAAAGAAATGAAAAAAATAAATAAAAATCCACGCCCAATGAATAATTAGAAAAAAGTAAAAATTCAGTCCTATCGAACACTTGAAAATACATTTTTAAAAGGCCCACGACTTGAACATTTTTTTTTCTTAAAATTAGACTTGAAAATTATATTTAAAAAATCCACGTCTTTAATTATTGTTGTTATTTATTACCGTGTTTTCACTACTACAAATAAATTTATTTTTGTCATTTTTATACATTAAAAACGGACTCAAGAATAATATTAGACTAGAACACAAACCGTGGACCCTACTTATTCTGGCTAAAAATTAACAAAAGCTACAGTGCGATACGAGTTTAAAAAATAAATCTGAGATACTTTCCCAATACATTACGTACCAAGTCTCATATTAATTGTATATTAATAATGTTTGGGAAATAATATATCTTTTAGACACTATTTATAGTATTACAGATAAATGGTCGAATCGGTGCATAATTAAAAATATTGTTGTATTTTAATGTATTTTTATACAACCTGCAGTGATATTCTATAACTGCTTAACGATAGAATTTCATTGATCAATGAAAATATTCGACAAGCTAACGACCAAAATAAAGTAGTCGTTAATTCCTACCGACAGATATGAAAAAGTTAACATCAATTTTAGTTTTAATATGAAAAATTTGTGTATTAATTTTACCGATATTTGTTGGTAAAATTGAAAAAAGTTACAGAGTTGCACTACAGAATCAATCATGGAAAAAACAAATCTAGATCTAATCGAAAGATTGCTTCGTAATGCTTCTAGTTGACTACCCATAAATTTGCTTTAAAGTTTACGACAAAAAAGCTTTTCTAAATTAAAGCATTTGCTAAAAACTTTGAATCAATGTGGCAACTTTCACAAAAAGCTTCAGTGCCCGCGTAGCTTCAGTGTAACATAAAAGCTTTCTAAAGACAGTAAAAACGTTAAATTGAAATAATCTCTTGCAGTATTGGATACATTGCATACAATAGAGTAACTTCTGGTAATGTGGACCATGCGTCAAATGTGGACCACCCCCCATATCTAAGAAAATGCTTGAAATATGTCAATGCCGCCTTGATAAATGTTTTCCTAGTTAGTAAAAACAAATATCAAACTTGGTTTTTAATCAATAATTGCAATGTTGAAAATTTAGTAGCTGAAAATGTAGCTCTGATTGTAAAAGTGTGATTTGAAATTTTTTTTAGCACAATAGTAGAACGATTTTGTAAAATAGTCGAACATTTTGTTTTTCTCGAATATAAAGAGGTTATTTGGTTTTCTTGTTTTCTTCAACAAAAATACACGTTTATCTGTAATTACAATCGGTTATTTTTAAATTTTTATTCATTTTTGAAGCCGATAATTATTTTAAAATAAAAATATTCAATGTCGGGTAATGTGGACCACTATAAAAAAGTGGGACATTTTCATGAGGACGTGTTCGAAACAAGGACGCATTTAATATGCGAGGAGGTATTCTATCCTCTGAAAACTTGATATCCGAAATTATAGGTGCCTCGGTTGGATAATGAAGCAAGGACCTTCAACATACCGCAAATGGGGTGGTACCCTTAAATGGGGGCTATTCCAAAACATGGACCCATATATTTTTGCATTCATTGTTACCCAAGAGTGCAATAAATTGAAATTTATCACAATTAATCCACAACCTACCTTTAACTTACTGATCCTCATTACCCACACATACTGGTCCACATTACCCGCCAAGTTATTTTTATTGGTAGTTAAGAGTTTTTTGAAATATAATGCAATAACATTTTTATGGACAAATATATATAATTTTTGACCTGGAATATAATTAGCCAACAAATCTACCATGATGTGGAAACAATTTGTATTAATTTTTTACCTTTGTTACGCCCACAATATAAAGAAAAGAAAATGGTGGTCCACATTACCCGAAGTTACTCTAGATTGAAAAGTCTACTATAGAAACTTTTCAAAATATATCAACAGGAAAGTAGTATAGATAATACATTCATCACGAAGAACTATACCAAATAGTGAAAATTATTTGCATTCAAAATTTGGCCTGCTATTTAATAAATAAATTGACGCAAATAGCTTTTAATCCAAAAAATAAAATAAAATGCAATATTGCAGCCAATTCGAGCGGAGAATGCTAAATTAATATTCAAAACGGATGTAAAACTGAATACACTAGGCTCGAATGTAAACTATTTAACGCGTATGTTTACCATGAAAACACAATTTCTTTTGGATTTTTCATACCACGATGTATAGTCTCGTGGTATAGATTGCAATAGAGAAATTGAGTTAACTCCAGTATTTTTTTTTTTATATATTTTGTATTTAAATGCGAGAACAACTCTCTTAAAACAAATGACAAACAACGATCTCTTATAAAAATCTCCAATATCCTGAATCCATTTTCTCTTTGAGATATAAGTGGAACGCCAGACCCATTTAGAACAACAACAAACAAGGATTATTACAATATTTCACCCAAAACCAAATCTATTCTAAAATCCAACAATACCACCACCACCAACAACAACAAATGAAGAGAATTGCAACTTACGGGCGTCTGAATGATCGTTTTGATGCTGTTTCTGCTGTTGTTGCAACAACAAATGAACCGGATCGCCATTCGTTTTTTGGCGTTTACGTCTCAAGTGCGCGGGATCTAAAATGAAGAGTAGTTGTTACAAATATATTTTGTTGTTGTTTTTTTCTTCTTTTTCTTGTTTTAGTTTGTTTCAATACATATGCATGTTCTATTGGGTAGAGGGAACGAAATAGTTGAGCAAGAACTCTTCCGTTTCCCCTAAGGGTTTATGTTTTAATTTAAAAACTAACTTACGACTACAAATATATGTCAATACAAATACAAATGTAATAGTAATAGTAATTTGGTATATATTCTTAAGTACTAAAACTGTAAATTCGCATTTTGGATTCTCGGTGAGAATTCCATTACAATTTTTGTTTCAAATCAATACAAATTACGATTTTTTTTCAAAGAACCTTGCTGCTGTTCTTTACAAACAAATTTTGATCAAAAAATATTTTGCAATGCCTCGTCAAGGAGAGCAATGCAATTGTTTAACAATTTAGTTAGAGCAACTCTGCAATGTTAAAAATATTATTCTACAACAATAATGAATAAATATTAATATATAATAAATAAAAAAATATTGGATACATTTTTGTTAAATTTTTTCTTTGGTTTCTTCAGTTTAGGACTAGATTTGTTGGGCTCCAATGTCAAACCGATGAGCACCGTCAACAAAAATACAACAATTTACATTCATATCAAAAAACAATAACAATTGCATCGATCATCTACGATCGATAATACCATGCACACACCCAACAATTTTGGTGGGTCGATGATTTTTGGTCGCCGTGCAAAAAATCCGGGAATATCGGATTCTCAAACAACTGTTTCCTCCTAGTCAAGTGGTACATGAGTGTGTAGAGTACACTATATACAAATATAGAGCTGTTGTTGTTGGTATCGATTTGTTGGTTGAAAAACAAATATATATATTTGTTGTTTTGGCAAATTACACAATTTCTCAGTGACGTCGTCACCTCCGACAAAATATGTATGCGAAGGTGGCGTCACAATTAAATACAAATTAGTAGTAGTAGACCGAGCAAGAGAGTATTGAGCGAGAGCTAGAGCATCACCTGCAGTAGTGTAACATTCCTGGCTCCTCGCCATGATTGTTTTGTGAGCATTTCAAGATAATTCTCTCGTTTCTGCTACAACAGTCGTCACAATACGACGTCAAATAAACAAACACATATGCTTATATATATATGTATGTAGGTAGGGATGATGCACGGCAAAGATGTTCTAATTTTGACGATTGGCGGCCAACAATCGCTGGGCAACCTCCTCGGGCGAGAGAATTTCACCTGCGTCAACGGGCGCATAATAAGCGGAGGCCTCATCAAATTCGCTGGCCGTCGCTTTGGGTGGCATCGTCGTGTAGAGCGCATAGTGCTCAGCTTCCGTTAGATCCATGCTGGGGTCAAGTTCAACATTGAATTTGCCATCGGCCAAATTACGCAAACCCTCACGATCCGCAATGGCTACCAACTCCATATTGCCATCAGTTATGGGTATTTGAGCCTGCTCCAGGGCAGATACTGTGTTCTGGTCCAATGTGTTCGCCAATGTTATTGTACTGGCATGTGAATATTCCTCGTCGGGATATAGGGTGCCCTTTAGAGGAATGTGAATAACATCGGCATTAGTGTGATACAATAGGCGACGTTTACCAGATACGCTGCTGACGCTACGAGCCACCGGTTTGCCAACTTTCTCCGTTGTTTTCGAAGGCGAACTGGGGAAGGAGGGTGGTTGTAGCGATTTTGCCGATCGCAACGATGACCGATGATTATCCTTCAGATCGAAATAGCTAATACTGGGCTCTCGGCTTGCATCGGGACTTGCAGCTTTCGATCCAGCCTTGGAAGCTCCTTTTGATCCAGTCTCCAGGTCGCCTGCTTGGCTTAGATCAGACTTACTCTTGCGTCGTGAAAACAATTTCGAAAAGAAGCCCGACTTCTTTTGCCGTGGTAAAGTATTGCTGGAGCCGGGTTTTTGGGGTAAACGTTTTGTCGGAGGTAATTGGTCGGCTTGTTTGGTAATTAATATCGGAGCCTGTTGCCTCATTTTACGTCCGGCGTCGTCAATATTAGCTTCAATCGAACGATTTTCGGCGTTGCTGTCTTGCTTGCGCAGACGTTTTGGTGGTAGTGGTGGAACCTTTTCCTGTTCCACTGCGGTTACATGCATATGGGGTGATGATACGGTTCTTGGGGGAGCCGGCCGTGGTGGAGAAGGTTGCTGCTGAACTATATCTGGAGTACTGGCAGCTGCTGCCGGACTAGATTTAACCTCGACGGGATCGTAATTACTGGAATCGCCACCGATATCCGTTTGAATCGATGTCGGCGGTGAGGGTGGCATGATATTATCAATGGGTATTGTAATGGGATTCTTGAATGCGATCTGTAAACTGCTGTAGGTGGCAGCATCATCAAAGCTGTCATCGACATCCATGGCTGTTTGGCCGCCATCAACCAGACCTGTGGTCGGTTCAGGGACACACGCATCAATGCCGTTAAGTTCGTTGAGCAGAGCATTGTTGTAGGTATCGCGTCGTACAACGTGTTCCGTATAGATTTCATCCAGTTCAGCCACTTGTTCCAACAGATCGCTTAACGTTTTGTCCTCAGATTCATTGCCACCAGTTGTTGGCTGGTCTTGTTGCTGCATCTCGTTGGCCTGTATCCATTCGTTGATTTTCTCATTGGCATTCTGTTGTTGTTGTTCTTGGCCGGTTGCAGTTTCATGGGGGAGACTTTGCTGTTGATTCTCTTCGGTGTTTATGATCTCCACCACTTGTTGCATGGCGCTCAACTGCTCTTGCTGTTGTTGCTGCTCTAACTCTCGCATCTTTTCGTCGATAATTGTATCGATTTCTTGCTGGCTACGTCGTTTGGATTCCTCGTCGTCGTCGAGGCGTTCGTCACACGGTTCGTTCGTCAAAGTCTGTTCGGTCGTCTGGTCGGAAACAATTGTTTGATTTTCTGATGACTGTTGCTCGCTAGTCGGGGTATTCAGGTCAATGACCTCCATTGCTGGTGTGTCTACCTGTTGTTTCTCACCACCGGCAACACTCAATATTTCTTGGAATATATCGTAGTCGGGTTTCCTCTTGAGGTTCCGACGCAAATCCAAAAATCGTTTCCTACCTGAATCAAGTGGTACATATTCGAATGGAAGCGGTTCACTGGTGACGCCATCCGAGGGCCGCTTCAGCTGTATGAAGACCTGCAATAATGGAGTTATGAGTATTGTAAAAATGTCGGTTCATCTCTCAGCTTCGCATACCTTAGCGGGTTCCGTTATATCTGTCCTTTGATAACGAGGCGTTTTAAATGCTATGGCAGTCTGTTTGTGTACATCGGTATGTTGAAATTCTCCGTATGCCTCCCAGACTAATTGGCCATTCTTCTCCTCGAAAAAACGCACGGCAATATCTTCTTTGGCTACTTTTTCACACAGCAGAATGATCTGTGTGTTGCCCAGCACGCTGGCGGAACAACTGCACAGACGACAAATGACAAGGTCCGACATGGCTTTCTTGTCGTATATAGGTTCCGAGACCACTGGCGGAAGTGGTTGTGTGAAACGTCCCTTTTGGTCGCTCTCCATAAACACTTGGAAACACAACCGAACTGAGTTCAGATCAATACTTGAAGGATGAAATCTATGCGAAAATCCAGCTGAAATGAAAGGGAGTTGAGTTGAGTCGTTGCGATTCGAAGGGCAATTCGAAGTTGATGACTTACTCTTGAATGGATCTACACGAATTTCTTCGCGTGCCTTGAGAGCTGCTTCGATGTCCTTCTTTTTGACACATTGTATGCCCAAATTGCTGAACACAGCTCTCATTGTTTCCGAATTAATCTCTAAGGTACAAACGCCCTTCTTGCAGCCTTCCTTTCCAACCAGATTGTGTGGATGAGGCCTGTAAATAAGGCGAAAGTAGAGAAGAGAAATCATGTTATTGAAAAGTATATATGGTCTTGGTTCAAAGGCTTCTCTTACCGGTAGGGCTGATCTTTGGTGACACAGGAAACAACAACTACGGCACGCCCTTTGTAGCCCACAATTTCAATGGTGGGGTATGTTTTATTCTCGGGCGTTGAGTTAACACCTGGTATTGAACCGGCTGAGCGACCCTCACATTCGTAACGGAATCTCAGCGCTTTACCGGCCGGCTGTTCTGTTATCTTGACGTAGGGCTTCTTGCGCATATTTTTGTTAACAGCATTGGGACCTTGTTGCTGCTGCTGTTGTTGTTGCTGCTGTTGCTGCATACCATTGTAATTGATATTTTGTTGCTGCTGTTGTTGTTGCTGTTGCATGGAATCCATATTTGGAGCGTTGGGATTTATTGCAGTTGCTTGGCCACCACCTCCTCCTCCACCAGCTAATAAGTTACTATTGCCGGGATTTTGGTACATGAAATGTCTAAATAATTAACTGAAACGAAAAGCAAATACGAAATGTTCGATTTAGTCAAATCCGGCGAAGCCAATGTGACCTACTATGGCAGTAAAATTTTTGCAGATTTCAGTATGAGTTTTCTCCCATTTTCTTGTGTCGAAACACCACCACTCGTCTACACCGATGATGAATATTTTCTAAATATAGCCGATGCTACGTCGACCACAAAACATAAAATAATCGCTTTCCTTGGGCAGGCAACTGGTGCCGAAAGTCGAAGCAATTCTAAATTCTATAACTAAGAAAATTGCCACAACGTACTTGTCTCCTCTCCTCGCCTTTTCTCTCACTCTCTGATTCGGTGTTTTACTCGGATGGGGTTGTGGATGCCAGTGGTGATGGTGCTCTGCGATGATCACGATGCAAAGTGTCGAAAGATACTAAAAAATTAGCACAAACTCAGAACATTTCGGACTAAAACAATCCACCACCTTCGACCACCGCCAATGGCAGATCAACAACAGACATTTGGCACACAATCTTGGCGATTCTCTCTGATATTCTCCCATAGCGTTCTGTCTGTCGGTCTGTCTGTCCGCCCGAATCTTCCATTTGGTAAACCACCAATTGTGTATATAATTTTGTTTGCGTCTATTCTAAATTAATTAAATATATATGTATGTACGTATTTGTGAACTAATAGGTTTGGACAGACACAGAAAGAACAACAACAACAATAAAATAATTGCAAGGTAACAAACAGGTAAAATGTAATCAAAACATATTTATTTAATTTTTTTCTTAAATAAAACCTAAGAGTTTAAATTTGGTGTTGAGATCCATGGTGTTACGTGTTCGCCGATCTGCATGGAATAGAACTAATACACTAGTCTACACATTGAATGGGTTTAAAAAGATAATTATAATTAAAAAGAATTATATGCCAGATAGAGAATAAATAAAATGTGAAATGTGCTGATTTTGACGATATTGCATACCGTTTTCTGTCTGAAGTTTCAACGATATTCCAATTCGGAATAATAAATTCAGAGTGTTCTTTGACAGACTTATACAAAGGATCAGAATAAACCAACTCGCACATGGGCGTTAAGTGGACATTTATCAACTGCTAGATGGATGACAAAGACGATTCTGAGCCCCTGGGAACTAGTGTGGCTATATCTTCTGGAATACCGAAAATCGGTTTGTACCGCTGCGTGTAACATTTTCCTATATTTGTATTTTTACAAATATGTTTCCTACCCACAGGGAACAATATATGTTAATGTATACCAAAGGGTATATCGTCAGCTAAAATGCAAAAAGGCGTAAGTAACAAAAAATTGAAAATTGAATTTTTGAATGAATATTTGTGAATGTCAATAAACTACATTTGTTGACAAAGTTTTACACGTCTGCGGTCAAAAAAGGAGCTTCTGTTAACAAAAAAAAAAAAAACAAAAAGATGTAACTAAAAGTGGGTTTATTTGATAAATGCAAAAATGCGTAACTAACAAAAATTCAAATTTTTACTTAATTGTTATGACTGCCATTAAACTAAATTTGTTAAAAAAAATTATAGTCTATTATTCGTTATATGCAATATCACCCTGCCGGGCATACTTTTTCATTTCACATGACATGTTTATAGTTTTCATTCAAAACAGTTTTTTGCTTCTCCTACACAATTATGTTTTTGTTAGTTACGCCTTTTTGCATTCTAGCTAACGATATGTATATTGTCACTGAGAAAAGTCTATTCTATTGGAATATGTGGATAAGACTATTATAATTTAGGCGAAACTATTTTATAAACACTATACCAATTATACTGAGCACATTTCCATCGGATATTCAACCCAAGTGGGATAACTACATGTCATAATGCAATCGAATTTGTATAAAAATGAGAAAAATCCTTAAAAATCGCAATAACCAAACTATTTTGTGCAATTATTATAGTGACAATAATTTACAAAGAATGTAAAATGTGTCTAAGATTGTCAAAATACCGAACATTTGTACGTGCGTGTTATGACGAAAATTGGTCACATATTAATATTTTTGTTAGATATTTTTATTGCGTATACCTGGAAAATTTGAATTTTATCGGAATTAGAATTTTATTCTAATGATGAAAATATAGGATATAAACTAAGTAGAACAGGTGGTTGATTATGTTCAAATTAAGAAAGTGAAAGAATGCTACATTTTAGGACCACAATATTCGATAATATATATATATATATATATTTAACTCGTGTAAGTTCTAAATTAACAGCAAGAAATGTCGCATTTGAGAATTATTAATGTTTACTGTAGAACATTGTATTTTATTCGCTCTTGGTCAGTTCACGTTTCCAAATTCGTTCACTTTGACACAGAAAAAGGAACAACTCAGAGAATAAGACATATTTGAAACAAACAATAAAATATATATCCGTTGCTCTTTTTAATGTTCTGTATGAAACGTACGACAATTTTCCTCTTTTAGCTCCGGAAAATTGGATAAAAATAAAATTTTGCGTAACTTGTGGCTGAGTAGAAAACACAAACAGACAAATCGTCACAGAGGGGAAATGACTTTCAGACAACTAACTGCACATTTATGAGACAAACATGGACTGTGGATTCGAATGGCCCCACGTATGATCAGTCGACACCAAAGTGACTGAAAATCTTTTTGGATTTTTTTTCGTTGCTGTTTTCTTTTTGTGACTATTTCGGTGCTCGGCGTATTTTCAACTTTGGCTAAATGAAACGAATGTTTATTTTATTTTTTCGTCGATGTTTTGGAATAGACCCGATATTGTGTGTATACTATGGGGTGGTTTTGTTTATATGTAAACGTACATATATATTTATACGAGCTACTTCCAATGCCTTTATTCTTTTTGAATGTGATTTGTATTTATCGAAAACAAAAAATCTACAGCTTCTGGACTGATTGTTTGTGTTGGCTGGTGAAGCAAATTGCTTACACATTTTCGTATAGAAATGTAAAATATATTCAAGGCTAAAGAAGTCAAATAGCCATATATACAGAAAGAGAGAATTTGAATGTTTCAAATTTTGTAATGGTTTTCATTGGATGTAAATATTTCTCTGAAAATGGTCTTGAAAAGTATGGCAAATTCACGAATTGGACTAAAGCTAATATATTAAATATATTTGAATATATTAAAGGGCCGTGATGCAGCCCATAAATGAATCGTTTATTTTGAAAATTGTTTAAGTCTATTTTAGATTCTGCTACAAATCTTGGTTTTCTAGAAAAGTTTACAAAACATATTACGTTATACATATATACAAAGCAACAAACAAAATTAATACCACTTGGCAATATATTTGAAAAAAAAAAACAAACCCAATCCTTTAATCATTAACGACTCAAATAATAATACACATTTTGATAATTAAATACATAAAAATACATAAAAATATGATACCATTCACCACTTTGGGTATATTCAACAGATGGAATCCTAACAGACGTCGCATTTTTGAAGGACCATTAACATGAAATTAAACATGTCATTCTGCAACCTATACTAAATTTTGGTCAGATATAGAGTTGCTTCTTACAATGGGACAAAATTATGTAAATAAATTTAAATCAAAATATCGAAATCTAAACCGATTTCATCGAAACTTAACCAAAGACATAAAAGTATAAAGATAGGACAATTGATACGTAGACAATTTCCAATAGATGGATTTTCCTCTGTTGTTACGATGTCATAACAACAGAGCAAACAATATTAAACGTTTTTAGTGCTATAGCGTAAGCTTATAAAATAAAAACATATATTTTGAGTGCAGACCTCTGATTTTATTCACATTTTATACACACATAATCACGTATTTGCGTTTTTATTGTTAACATGCCTCTGTTATGCCTGATTCCCCCTGGATATTTTTTCATAAACTATTTTGTCAAAATGCATTTTGTCGAGTCTTTACGGTTTTTATGTCTTTGAATGCATTTTGTCGAGTCTTTATGGTTTCTATGTCTTTGTCTTTGACTTTGTTAGGTTACACTTATTTCAATTTACATAAAATCGGACGAAAATATATATTGGAGTTATATCGAAATCTGAACCGATTTTCGCGAAATTTAACACACATCATTCTAGACTTAATTCACTGCTAGTATGGAAAACATATTTAATTATTTTATATCTGGCACAGAGAGTTTTTAATGTCTAAAAAGTACCCATGCAAAAATTTGTCGACATAGGTCAGAAAACGTAGACCTATGCCGACCTAGCTTCCATTTTGAGTTTTTGCCCAAATATTGGGTATAAACTATTTAACTGCCGAAATGGGATCTCTGGGCCCATGTTTTGATATAGCGCCCATATATCCATTCCTCTTGATTTAAGGGGACCCCCCATTCTCGGGTTGAAAACATTTAATTTTGTATTTTGATTTAATTCAAATATAAACTAATTCAATTTCTATGAAATTTCTCAAACTTTAAACGCAGTTTTCTCCTTAAGGTGTTTTTAATACATTATCCACATTTTACAATCAAGTTGGCTTAGTTTGACACAGATAGTTCTCAACTTGTCGACGTAAGTCCACATATTCCGGTTGTCCCCCATATAAATGTATCCCCATTTGAAATATTTATTTATGACATTGCTATATCGATTAATTTTGTTGAAATATGACGATCAGTGTAATAAATGTTGGAGCCTCAGAATATAGTTGTGTGGGGCATAAATTCAATATAAGTCAAACTATGAAACTACTACTGATGATCAAGTAAGTACGACTTAGCCTAACGTCTAGCAATCTCCGCAACATGTCCAACATGTGTATGGGCATTGTTTTAAAATATTGACCAAATGGTAAATATTTATAAATAAATGCGTTTGTGTATACAAAAAGCTTTTTTTAAAAACAAAAATATTTATATGTACTACAAATACAAATATTCGCACATGTATTGGTATTTTGTTAGTGGGTTGACACTTTTTGGCAACAAATACGTTTAATTACACAAATCGGAAATGACGAAATTTTAAAAA